TAGCCAGAACCAGAGGATCCTGAAATTTGAGGGAGAGAGAGAGAGAAAAAAAAAAAAAAAAAAAAAAAAAATGAATTAAAAATATTTTGAAATTTGATTACATTCCACTATTTCTTAACACCACCTTTTGATAGGTGCATAATCATTAGTAAAATTTTTTTTTTTTTTAGCAAACTGACTAAACATTTGTCACTAAATCTGGATAATCAAATGAGCATTTTGACAATTTAGCATTAGTTTTCTCCTTTATAGTCTTAATAGTAAAATTGCATCCAATTTTGACTTACCTGTATTTGTTGTACAACTTTGTTGGTAAGTTTTTTGGAAATAAAGTCTTCAGGATGGATGTCAACTTTGGAGCCATGATCTGCAATAATTGAAATAGTTTTAAGTAGAATCAAGTAAAATTGGATTTGTTGGACAGGTTACAGGAAAGGAATCACAAAAAGTTAAGTATTAATCTATTAATAGAGAATATTTTCCATTTCAATAATAAAAAAAATGAGATGCAATAAATTGTAGACAGACTATTCTTGCTAAAATATTCTAGCACTCAAAGTTAAAGAAAGAAACCATGATAAATATTTCCTGGGTAAACATCTTAAAATAGATTTTATGATATTTAAGAGTGCTGAAACTTCAGCATCCATAACATACCTGCCACATTACAATTGTTTGCTGATCCTTCAATAAATATTGTGTGGCAAAGCTGTAGTAACCTCAAGACATGATCAACAGTGCAAGCAGTTGGATCATTATTTGGGGGAGATTCCCACTCACTGACAAGCCTCATTGATGAAGGGAAGTTTTCATTCACTGAACTTATCATACTTGATTGACAATCCTGAAAATGAAAAACCTCACAATATGAAAACAAAATAGTGTATTGTCAATAGACTTTTACTATAAAGAAGCCAAATAATTTCATTTAAAAGAAATCAAATTACTAGGTTGCTATTTTTAAACAAATATTTAAAATAGATTGATATATTAAAACTTAAAATCTTATGGCCTAATAGTTAATCAAAATCTTTGAACATTGAAATTTGTTTAATGTTTAGTAATTTGAGATTCCATAAAAAAAAAAAAAAAAAAAAGCAAAAAAAAGCTTATTTTGCATAAGTGAACTTTGTTACAAGTAAAAAGGCAAGACAATATTTAAGATTGAAAAATAATTACATTTGAAAGATCTGTCTTTGACTCTCCTTCCTTTAATTCCCTGTATGTAATACTGAAAGTAAAAATCAAAAAATAGTCCTTTAACTAATTTCTTAATAGTTCAAAAGAAAGAAGAGAAACAAAAAGAGAAACAAAAGAAAGAAGAGAAACAAAAAGAGAAACAAAAGAAAGAAGAGAAACAAAAAGAGAAACAAAAAGAGAAACAAAAAGAGAAACAAAAAGAGAAACAAAAAGAGAAACAAAAAGAGAAACAAAAAGAGAAACAAAAGAAAGAAGAGAAACAAAAAAGAAACAAAAGAAAAGAAGAGAAAAAAAAAGAAAACAAAAAAAAAAAAAAAACAAAAAGAGAAAAAAAAAAAAAAAAAAAAGAGAAAAAAAAGAAAAGAAGAAAAAGAAAGAAGAAAAAAAAAAAAAGAAAAAAAAAAAAAAAGAAGAAAAAGAAAAAAAAAAAAAAGATGGACAAAAACAAAAAGAAGAAAAAAAAAGAAAAAAAAAGAGAAGAAAAAGAAAGAAGAAGAAAAAAATTGAAGAGAAACAAAGAAAAAAAAGAAGAGAAAAAAGAAAAAAAACAAAAGAAGAGAAAAAAAAGAAGAGAAAGAAAAAGAAGAGAAAAAAAAGAGAAGAAAAAGAAAGAAGAGAAACAAAAAGAAGAGAAGAAAAGAAAAGGAAACATCTTCAAAAGAGAAACAAAGAAGAAGAGAAAAAAAAGAAGAGAAAAAAAAGAAGAGAAAAAAAAGAAGAGAAAAAAAAGAAGAGAAAAAAAAGAAGAGAAAAAAAAGAAGAGAAAAAAAGAAAAAGAAAGAAAGAAGAGAAACAAAAGAAAGAAGAGAAACAAAAGAAAGAAGAGAAACAAAAGAAGAGAAACAAAAGAAGAGAAACAAAAGAAGAGAAACAAAAGAAGAGAAACAAAAGAAGAGAAACAAAAGAAGAGAAACAAAAGAAGAGAAACAAAAGAAGAGAAACAAAAGAAGAGAAACAAAAGAAGAGAAAAAAAAAGAAAAAAAAGAAAAGAAAAAAAAAAAGAAACAAAAGAAGAGAAACAAAAAAGAGAAAAAAAAAGAAGAAAAAAAAAGAAAGAAAAAAAAAGAAAAAAAAAAAAAAAAAAGAAAAAAAGAAAAAAAAAAAAAAAAGAAAAAAAAAAAAAAAGAGAAAAAAAAGAAAGAGAAAAAAAAGAGAAAAAAAAGAGAAAGAAAAAAAAGAGAAAAAAAAAAAAAAGAAAGAGAAACAAGAAAGAGAAAGAAAAAAAAAAGAAAGAAAAAAAAAAAAAGAAAGAGAAACAATAAAGAGAAAGAGAAACAACAAGAGAAAGAGAAACAAGAAAGAGAAAGAGAAACAAGAAAGAGAAAGAGAAACAAGAAAGAGAAAGAGAAACAAGAAAGAGAAAGAGAAACAAGAAAGAGAAAGAGAAACAAGAAAGAGAAAGAGAAACAAGAAAGAGAAAGAGAAACAAGAAAGAGAAAGAGAAACAAGAAAGAGAAAGAGAAAAAAGAAAGAGAAAGAGAAAAAAGAAAGAGAAAAAAGAAAGAGAAAGAGAAAAAAGAAAGAGAAAGAGAAAAAAGAAAGAGAAAGAGAAAAAAGAAAGAGAAAGAGAAAAAAGACAGAGAAAGAGAAACAAGAAAGAGAAAGAGAAAAAAGAAAGAGAAAAAAAAAAGAAAGAGAAAGAAAAACAAAAAAGAGAAAGAGAAACAAAAAGAGAAAAAAAAAAAGAAAGAGAAAAGAAAAAAGAAAGAGAAAAGAAAAAAGAAAGAGAAAAGAAAAAAGAAAGAGAAAAGAAAAAAGAAAGAGAAAAGAAAAAAGAAAGAGAAAAGAAAGAAAAGAGAAAAAGAAAAAGAAAAAAAAGAGAGAAAAGAGAAAAAAGAAAGAAAAAGAGAAAAAAAAAGAAAAAGAAAAGAAAAAAGAAAGAGAAAGAGAAAAAGAAAGAGAAAAAGAAAAAAGAAAGAGAAAGAAAAAAAAAAGAAAGAAAAAAAAAAGAGAAAGAGAAAAAAGAAAAAAGAAAGAGAAAGAGAAAAAGAAAAGAAAGAGAAAAAAGAAAAAAGAAAAAAAAAAAGAAAAAAGAAAGAAAAAAAAAAGAAAAAGAAAAAGAAAAAAAACAGAAAAAAGAAAAAGAAAGAAAAAAAAGAAAAGAAAAAAAGACAGAAAAAGAAAAAAGAAAGAAAAGAAAAAAAGAAAAGAAAAAAAAAGAAGAAAAAAAAAAAAAAGACAGAAAAGAAAAAAGACAGAAAAGAAAAAAGACAGAAAAGAAAAAAGACAGAAAAGAAAAAAGACAGAAAAGAAAAAAGACAGAAAAGAAAAAAGACAGAAAAGAAAAAAGACAGAAAAGAAAAAAGACAGAAAAGAAAAAAAAAAGAAAAAAAAAACAGAAAAGAAAAAAAAAAGAAAAAGACAGAAAAGAAAAAAGACAGAAAAGAAAGAAAAAAAGAAAAGAAAAAAAGAAAAGAAAAAAAGAAAAAAGAAAAGAAAAAAAGAAAAGAAAAGAAGAAAAGAAAAGAAGAAAAAGAAAAAAAGAAAAAAGAAAAGAAAAAAAGAAAAAAAAAAAAGAAAAAAAAAAGGTCAACAACAGATTTAATTAGAATCAATTAACATTACTCATAGAAATTGAGCTTATGTCAACTTAAATGTTGAACAGATTAAGAAGACTATCACTCTAGCTCTTGCAGTGACCAAAGACTTAGAATGTACCAATTCTAATGATACTAGAAGAAAAATAATTTAATATCATGCACAATATTAACATTGTAAAAATTTCATAAATTTGAAGTAAATATTCATTAGGTTCCAACAAATCAACATTGTTCCATTTATTTTTCAATTTAAAATTTTAATGTTTACAATGAGAAGTTAGATAGTATTGCATACAAGTAAAACCCTAGTAAACCTGAATTTTTCTTAAAATCTTTCAAAAACTGTGCTCCAAAATTCTTACATGTAAGTTGGCTCCCAGATACGTTTCAATCTTTCACTTCGTCCATTGCTTCCACCTTGCACTCTTAATTGCTGTACATATTTGAAGATACATGCATTTTCATCACCCATGTAAATTTCTACCTCATCTGTCTGAAAAATGAAAATAAAATTAAATAGTTTGAGAAATTTGTACCAGGAGCTAAATTATGTATTTTTAAATTACACATTCATGTAAAAAATTATTTTTACTTTTTAAAGTGATTAATGTTGAGAGTGTAGATATAAACTTACTCCAGTTGTGGCTGGTGCCTTCAAAAATAAAGCAAGACGAGGTTGTGGGACTTGTTGGCTCAATTCAAGAATTGAACTGTCTTCTGAACCTGAAAGTAAAAAATTTACTTTGTGTATGTATGTGTATATATGACAGACAAAGAGAATAAGACAGACAAAGAGAATAAGACAGACAAAGAGAATAAGACAGACAAAGAGAATAAGACAGACAAAGAGAATAAGACAGACAAAGAGAATAAGACAGACAAAGAGAATAAGACAGACAAAGAGAATAAACAGAGAGAATAAGACAGACAAAGAGAATAAGACAGACAAAGAGAATAAAAGAAGACAAAGAGAATAAGAAGACAAAGACAGACAAAGAGAATAAGACAGACAAAGAGAATAAGACAGACAAAGAGAATAAGACAGACAAAGAGAATAAGACAGACAAAGAGAATAAGACAGACAAAGAGAATAAGAGAAGAAGAAAAGAGAATAAGACAGACAAAAGAATAAGACAGACAAAGAGAATAAGACAGACAAAGAGAATAAGACAGACAAAGAGAATAAGACAGACAAAAGAGAAAAGAGAAAAGAGAATAAGACAGACAAAGAGAATAAGACAGACAAAGAGAAAAGAGAGAAAAAGAGAATAAGACAAAGAGAATAAGACAGACAAAGAGAATAAGACAGACAAAGAGAATAAGACAGACAAAGAGAATAAGAAGACAAAGAGAATAAACAGAAAAGAGAATAAGACAGACAAAGAGAATAAGACAGACAAAGAGAATAAGACAGACAAAGAGAATAAGACAGACAAAGAGAATAAGACAGACAAAGAGAATAAGACAGACAAAGAGAATAAGACAGACAAAAGAGAATAGACAAGAGAATAAGACAGACAAAGAGAATAAGACAGACAAAGAGAATAAGACAGACAAAGAGAATAAGACAGACAAAGAGAATAAAGAGGAAAAGAGAATAAGACAGAAAAAGAGAATAAGACAGACAAAGAGAATAAGACAGACAAAGAGAATAAAGAAGACAAAGAGAATAAGACAGACAAAGAGAATAAGACAGACAAAGAGAATAAGACAGACAAAGAGAATAAGACAGACAAAGAGAATAAGACAGACAAAGAGAATAAGACAGACAAAAAGAGAAAAGACAGACAAAGAGAATAAGACAGACAAAGAGAATAAGACAGACAAAAAAAAGAGAATAAAGACAAAAAGAGAATAAGACAGACAAAGAGAATAAGACAGACAAAGAGAATAAGACAGACAAAGAGAATAAGACAGACAAAGAGAATAAGACAGACAAAGAGAATAAGACAGACAAAGAGAATAAGACAGACAAAGAGAATAAGACAGACAAAGAGAATAAGACAGACAAAGAGAATAAGACAGACAAAGAGAAAGACAGACAAAGAGAATAAGACAGACAAAGAGAATAAGACAGACAAAGAGAATAAGACAGACAAAGAGAAGAAAGACAGACAAAGAGAATAAGACAGACAAAGAGAATAAGACAGACAAAAAAAGACAGACAAAGAGAATAAGACAGACAAAGAGAATAAGACAGACAAAAGAATAAGACAGACAGAGAGAATAAGACAGAAAAGAGAATACAGACAAAAAGAATAAGACAGACAAAGAGAATAAGACAGACAAAGAGAATAAAGACAGACAAAGAGAATAAGACAGACAAAAGAAAAAAAGACAGACAAAAAGAATAAGACAGACAAAGAGACAAAGACAGACAAAGAGAATAAGACAGACAAAGAGAATAAGACAGACAAAGAGAATAAGACAGACAGACAGACAAAGAGAATAAGACAGACAGACAGACAAAGAGAATAAGACAGACAGACAGACAAAGAGAATAAGACAGACAGACAGACAAAGAGAATAAGACAGACAGACAGACAAAGAGAATAAGACAGACAGACAGAAAAGAAAGAGAGACAGACAGACAGACAAAGAGAAGAGAGACAGACAGACAAACAGAACAGAGAATAAGAACAGACAGACAGACAAAAAGAATAAGACAGACAGACAGACAAAGAGAACAAAGACAGACAGACAGACAATGAGAATAAGACAGACAGACAGACAATGAGAGAAGAAGACAGACAGACAAATGAGAATAAGACAGACAGACAGACAATGAGAATAAGACAGACAGACAGACAAATGAGAATAAGACAGACAGACAATGAGAATAAGACAGACAGACAGAATGAGAATAAGACAGACAGACAGACAATGAGAATAAGACAGACAGACAGACAAATGAGAATAAGAAAGACAGACAGACAATGAGAATAAGACAGACAGACAGACAATGAGAATAAGACAGACAGACAGACAATGAGAATAAGACAGACAGACAGACAATGAGAATAAGACAGACAGACAGACAATGAGAATAAGACAGACAGACAGACAATGAGAATAAGACAGACAGACAGACAATGAGAATAAGACAGACAGACAGACAATGAGAATAAGACAGACAGACAGACAATGAGAATAAGACAGACAGACAGACAATGAGAATAAGACAGACAGACAGACAATGAGAATAAGACAGACAGACAATGAGAATAAGACAGACAGACAATGAGAATAAGACAGACAGACAGACAATGAGAATAAGACAGACAGACAGACAATGAGAATAAGACAGACAGACAGACAATGAGAATAAGACAGACAGACAGACAATGAGAATAAGACAGACAGACAGACAATGAGAATAAGACAGACAGACAGACAATGAGAATAAGACAGACAGACAGACAATGAGAATAAGACAGACAGACAGACAATGAGAATAAGACAGACAGACAGACAATGAGAATAAGACAGACAGACAGAGAATAAGAGAGACAGAGAGAGGTAATGTGAGAGGTAATGTGAGAGTGCACATAAAACTATGAAAATGAGTGGTATGAAATACCTATTAAATATTTGGTCTTCATCAGAATTCATTACAACTAAACTGGAATATATTAATTCAGATTAAATTTCTTTCCACAGAGGTATTGACTTGAAGTTTCTTAAATTAACCTGTAGCTTAACAAGTGAAATTAAAAAACAAACATAAATGAAATTCATTTAACCCATTTCAGTATAATAAATAAAATTACTAACTTGTTCTTATTTGTGTTGCAATTGTAACTTTTACTCTTTAACTTTTGGACTTTTATGTACATTGTAAACTGAAAATTTCAAACTACACAAACCACAGGGCAGAGTGTTCTCATTTTTTGTGAACTTTTTGATGGATGGATGGATGTTGGATTTAACGGCATGTCAACTCCTATTTAATTAGTCTTCTTGCAGATCCAAGGACTGAACTTCCAGGAAACTATACACAGAACCAACACTTGTCCACTAAGCCACGTGCCTCAAAACTTAATATTTCAATAGTTGTTAATCTATATCATAAATTTATAATGAATTTTCAAAGGTATGATTGTTTTTGGGAAATGTAAGCTATTTGATAAATAGGAAGAGACAAACCTGGTGCTGGAATTTCAAAGTCTTGAGTTTGATTGACATTTGTCCGACCAGGCCGAGGATCGAAGGCAGGTATAAGAGCAGAAAATTGCCGTTTTAATACAAATTCATCATCCCACATTCTTGGCTTCTCTCCTCTAAATTCAATATCATCCTCTTCCTAAAAAAGCAAAAGAGGAAAAAAAAAAGAAAAAGCAAATTAGAAATACACTTCTGCAAATCTTTCATGTCTTACATCATTTGAAATAAATTATTGTATAAGCTCATTTAAAGGCAGGTTATCAAGTAATACTGTAATTTTCTATAGAGTTTTTTTAAAAAAATGTTTGATAAAAATATTAACTATTATGAGCTTGTACTAATTTTGTCTCATAAAAGATTTTATTAAAAATAAGAGAAAGTTCAAATTTACCATTACAACATCATCAAAATCATCATCTTCATTTTCATCATCATTTTCATCACCATCATTATCAATATCAGGCATCAAGTCATCATCCAGGTCAGCTAACAAAGCATTAGCTTGGCAACTCTCCAAGAATTCATTATCACTTTCACTTGAAGTGGATGGTAAACTGCGAGTAAGAGCCTGGCTTAGAGTCATATTGGTCATTGTTTGGGCAGTGGTGAGGGTACTAGATGTAGTTGATTGTGTACTGGTAAGATTAGGAAAACTCTGAGCACTCAACAGACTGTCTGAAATTACAGAAACAACTATGTATTAAAATCATTTCAGATTTCTATAAAAAAAAAAAAAAAAAAAAAGAAATTACATTTTTATGGTAAATTAACATGGATGTTATTTTTAATTTGTTTTTTAAGTGGTATTATGTTAGGAATTAAAAGGTAGTTAGAATAGCTCTTATAAGCAACAATTTTTGCACTTTAATAAATAATATTTAATCTTACATGTTCATAATTTCCCATAAATTTGTTTGGTTTGTTTCACGACATATCAACCTCAATGGGTTATTAAATGCTGACAATTTTTTTTTTTTTTTTATTGCTGTAATACCCCCCCCAAAAAAATGTATTACTGGTAATATTTTTTTTAACAAAGTATTTATGGTATTAAAACCTATTTTACACTGTGTTTTGACCCTTTCAGTTGGGGTTCACTATTTACCCATAGCTGGGACCCTAACAGGTGCTACCACCCTAAGTCAGGGTGGACCTAGGAAGACTAGCAATTAAGGTGGTTCCACACTCAAAACCTCTTGATCAGAGGCCTTTCTGTTGGATATATAGTTTATTGTCATACCCAGGATGCTTACCCATAGATGTATAAGGAATGAAGAATGAATTAAATGATACTCAAAATATTTGTTTGACATTTGAAATGATTTTATGTATATACAACTTTAGGTTTTACACCTAGTAAAAGTATTTGCAGGTAGTAAAAGTAATGTTTATTCTTTAATGTCCTATAACAAGATGTATTTAAAGTTTTTGGTAATACAGAAAATCAAATGAACAAAAACTTTTTTTTTCCAAAATCTATTACCAATGAATAACTCATGAAGGGTGAGGGAACTTGTCATTGCTGTTAATGTGTTAAAATTTCAAGTTAAATGGATAACTTGATAAAGGAATGTTAATTGTGAAGCTTTGTGATGACAAAATATATTGAAAGCTGTTCAAAAATGCAAGTTAATACATTCAAAAGGTTATATAATGAAGCAAAAAGCAGAAAGACAAGATCTTAATACTTACTGGGTGAATTAGCAAAGGCAGCTAATCTGACTAATCCACCATTGTTAGCAGTGGAAGCAGCCATATTATTAGTTTCATTAGTTAAGTTCCTCCTGGCCACCACAGCAAATGATTCCATCAAATTATTACCAGGTTCTAGAGTGGTGGGCAAGTTAGGAACACTCACACTCATAGGGTTGGTTGGGGAACCGCGAGAATTCTGAGCTTCATGTAGCTTTCTAGCTTCAGCACGAAATATTTTCTTCTGCTGAGTGAGATAGGTGCTAAGTGTATCAATTCCGCCTTCTGCACCTGAAGTTATAACAATTTAAATGCTAGAGGAAATTTATAAGTGTATTCAGAAGTGACTAATCCTAAATACGAGAGATTTTACAAAAGCCTAAAACATCTAAATTCTACAGTAATAATCACATTTCAATATGATAAAGGATTGAGAAAAAGATTAGTTACATAAGATGTGTTAACGAAGAGAAATGTTGTAGATTAATTTTTAAATTAACATACAAGTCATACCTAAATAGACAATTATTTGTAATTGTTTTAAGTCAGAGCTGAAGGTGTCAATAAAAGTGATCAAAAAACATGACAAAAGAAAAAAAATATCACAGCAGTAGTTTTATAATTACCTCTTCGTTTTTCAATTTTAGAAGCAGCAAGTCCAGTGTCTCCACCACCAGTTGCACCCTCTAAATATTCACGTTCTTGACTGCTTTGCTCCCAGTGAACAGCTGGTGTCGACTCTTGTGCATTGTTGCCGTTGTTTGACTGTTCCTCACTTGAATCAACGGTGACCATGACGATGGTGTCATTGCTTGATAAATTAGCCACACTGTCTGCCAAGTTCTGATTTGTCTTAAAAATTAAACAAACATACATTTTATTTTTTTTCAGTTAGTTTTAGAAATAATCTAAGTATAAAGATGAAAAAACATTCCATTGCAACAAGTTTCCTGTATTTGTAGGACAAGAAACTTTAAATGAGATGGACAAGTTTTTTTTTTTAATATTAGACTCAAAAAAGTTCATTATATCCCACTGACCTGCTACTTTGTTAAAACTTCAAAATATATGTCCACAAATTGAAGATTGTTAATGCTAAAATAAACTCATTTCATGAAATATATTTCACTGCAGTTTAGATTATCTGATAAACAAGCTAGAGTTTTCTACTGTAAAACCACTTGTCTATTGGAATATTTTATATAACCAATCCTATTAAATTTAGCAATATAAAAAAAAAACACTGTACAACATTAATTTATCCAGAATATAACATTTCATGAACAATTTTTAACAAATTTGAATTTACATTAAATTCAAAATTATCACAGCTTATTGTTTATAGCCTTAAAATTTTAAAACATTTGTCAGAAAACTGTGTTCATCTGAAATATGACAATGCTTATTAAGTACTTTTTAAAAAATTTGAGGGATCAAGCTGGTGATTTTGAATTTAAAGTTATTCATTTTGGCACAAGTTGATGTTAAGATTTTATCCTTCAAATAATTATATATATATATATATATATATATATATATATATATATATATATATATATATATATATATATATATATATATATAAAAAAAAAGTGAAAAGTAACAAATGAGAATAGCTTGCAGAAGATGAAAGCTGAAATTAATTTATCAATATTAATATTGTTGGCTCCAGTGAATGCTTCATTCTCAAATGTTATCAGCTGGAATTTAAGAAAAAGTAATTTAATAAAAAGAAAGTGAAAATTGAAAAACAATTACTATTTTAATCAATTTAGTGTATACAATAAAATTTAGAAAGAATCGAACCTGAAGTGCATTCAATAACCAAGTTCATAATCACCCAAATTTAATGAGTAAATAATAATCAAAGAAAAACACTTGCTCAAAATAGTTTACAATGAAAAGCAAGATGGAAATGAAAGGTGATAAGAAATCAGATTTATAAGAAGTCATCTGATTAGCCAAGAAATTAAAATAAAACAAATAAGTAATGAAGATATATTTTTAGAAACTGAAAACAGGAATATAACCAAGATTAAGAAATGAAAAACATTTTGATAAATGGATTCAATGTGTCAGATCATTTAAAATATTAATACAGATCTTAATAATATTTAGCTTAACTGAACTTAAGTTCAAAGCTTTCATTATTCCCTAACTATTCAGCCAGGACATTTCAGGTAAAAAAAAAAAAAAAGTTTGGTTGCTCACTATGCAGAAGCTACAAGAATAATTTTAACTGAGCCCAAAAGTAAATTTCAGAAATAAACACCAGAATGAGGATCTTTTGTAAGAAGATAAAATTTTTTTTCAGAATACAACATTAGAAGGATGGGAGGCTATTAATATTAGAGCAATCCTGTATCTAACAGTTCAGGCTCTTCCAACTTATTTACTAAATATTTGGGTTTGAGTAGCTTTTATTTTATATAATATATAATTTCAAAATTCAACAAGCTTATTAAAAAGGTAGATATGAAATCAATTGTTTCAATGTTCAAAACAAAAAAATGAAAGATTATTTCTATGTATAGGGTCTATCAGAGTAAGAATGTCTATTTTGAAATCCTCAATATTTTCTCTAGAGGACTTAATGAAAAGGAAAAAAAAAAAAAAAAAAAAAAAAACACTGTTTGCACCATAAGTTTCCTCTTTAAGGCAGCATAGTTACATATGAACAGACAACCTATGAAATAAGCTTTGTTTGGACCTTTTACTTTTTGTATGAAGTTGGAGAGGATCCTGGGGTAAGTAACTATTATTATCCTTGACATTACATGTGCCCTAATAAATAGCTTGAGATATGCTCTTACTAAACACTTTTCAATCACATATCAGTCACTTTGAGGTTAGACACTGTTGGCAAAATAGGGAATTTTGTATTCTTTGGCTATGCTGTTTATTGCCTCTCCAGCATCTACTTTAGCTAAGGCATCTGTCAGATTCTCCACACTACATTTCTTCTGTTTCTTGGGTACATCTGTTCAAGGCATGTTTATAAAACTTTCAGTGATTTTATTAAGCACTTCAGTACTAGAGGAAGTGAAGCAAATGATTTTAGAATCACAATTGGGTAAAAAGAGTGAGGAAAACAGGTACATTTTTAAACACAATGACTTTTCAAATGTGCACAGATTCTTGTGTCTGGTGACCCATTTTACCCAGACTACAAAAAGTTGATATTTTCCAGCAAGTGGCTATCACAGAAGTCAATACACTACAGAAAATCAAAGATTGTTACTCAACGTTATTTTTACAGACTTTTTAATCATTTACAGCCTAAAATTCAGACAAAGCACAAAGTATTGTAGAATAAGCAAAAGATGCAAATGAGATACTGACCTTATGAAGTCCTCATCAGCAACCCAAAAGTCAATAGAAAGGCAATATTTGTCTTTGTCAGCAAATTTATACAGGTAAGGGATCTGGGTATCATAATACAGATACACAATCCCACAATTCATTTCAGAAAATGAACAATGGCACAATCATGGTTAATAATTGCATACCCATTTTACCCCAGATACCCATTTTATGCCAGTAGACTATATAATGACGTTATGTCCACTCTCAGATTACACCAAAACAGTGACAAGATCAAATTAGAAACTAGAGTAAGACAAGACATTTCTCTAATAAGGTTTACACCCTGTTTACAAGATGCCACATCATCTGGGTGAAGAAGGATGTCAATATAGATGGTGAACTCCCCTGCCACCTAGAATTTGCAGATGACATCATCCTAATAGTTCATACACCACAAAAATTGGAGATGCTCAATGTTATCCACACTGTTAAGACTGGCAAACAACTGGGTTGGACACATCTCATCTTATAGACAACAGGTGGACTATAAGAGTGACAGAGTTGACACACAAGAAAGAACTAGAAGGTAGCCAAAGAGGTAGCCAAAGACAAAAATGGTCAATACCTTGGCCCCATATAACTAGAGATAGGAAGTGGTGAAAGTCAACCAAGGAGGGTTTTCTCCAACAGGAACAAACAGGCTCTGGATTTGTGCAATTAAGGTAATCAAGTGATATAAGACATATATTACAGAATAAAACTGGAGAAAAATGTTACTTTGTATTATCAATTGTCAAAATGAGCAGGTTTATGTGTACATAGAGATACAAACATGTTCTCTCTCTCACACACACACACACACACACCTTACCCAAAGTTACAAGTACAATTTAAACTTATTTCAGCTGGAATTTGAGTTCATTTTGTCAATATTTTCTATGCTTTCAATATCGTTTGATAAATTGATATATTTTCTCTTGTTATTAAAATGCTGCATTGAGTTTTTTTAGGCTCCTATTTCCCCACATTCCATTTGTACATAAGGTATCCCAAACTATCCTAGTTTACAGTGTAGACATGTGCCAAAATAGTAAAATTTCTTTCCATTCCAACTGCTGATATCTCATTTATTTCTCAAGCTATCAAAATAGCTATGTCTCTTCTTTAGTCAGTTTTCTTATCTTTGCACTCACACAACTAGAGATGTGCACATGAATTAAAAAGAGGGCATACCATGTTCATTTTGTGCAACATCTTTGGGCCTGATGCATGGAAATGAACATCACCAGCTGAACCCCATTGTTTTATCGATGGATGTTACAATTTAAATCTTTCTTAGATTTTATTTAATAATGCATTTTAAAACATTATAAAGCAATTATTTTAAAATCAATTCAAGCTGAAAGTTTGGAGGACAAACTAAAAAAAAATTATTTTATCCAAACTGTTAGCTTGAATTTTCAGTTATTCATAAACAAACTAGTTTATATATTTTTACTTCTTTAACTTTTGCTAATTTTCATTTACCCATAAATTAAAATAGAATCTTTAATTATAAATTATCACTACAAACTCATGAGAAAACTTGAGAAAAATTATTCAAAATTCATTTTAAAGTTAAGTGTCTCCTTTTAAAGTCAATTTTGTTTTGAAAGATAAATCTAAAGCAAATTTGTAAATAAAAAATTTTAAAAAATCTTAAAACTCCACTCTTTTGCTTCAGAGTGAATTAGTAAAATGAATGAATAACTGGCTGAATTATGTAAAAACACTTATTTTTTGCTTAAAATATAAGCTGTGAGCTGTTATAACTACGGTAGCCTTCTAAAGTTAAAACTCAAAAAATGGTATTAAACTTGACATATTTCAATCCTTAAAACATATCTTCATTTAATAGAAAAATTCCTTATTGGAGGAATTTCAAAATTGCAATGAAAAATTAAAACGAGTACATTTTTTAAAAACTTATCCAATATAGATTATTTCATGTCAAATGCGAGAGAAAATGTTTTAAATTATGCAAGTACCAACTCTCTACCAAAATATTTTTAGTTTTACTAGAGTTGTTTTAACCTAGATAACTAAAAGTTCTCTTATGTATCAAGATCAACACCATTGGAAGTAAATCTTAGCAACTACTTGGTGACAGGAAAATCAATCGATTCATCTCCACCTCTAAGGCAAAGAAAAGGCACTTGGTGATTCTGAGTATTTAAACAATTCTAGCAGTTGTGATGAAGAACCACCTCAGGTGACCTTCAAGTTATGCACACCAAGACAAATGGGTTGAAGTATATTATGACACCAACTTTTATATTGGCCAAGTCATTGATACTGCATTTCCATTCAATGCCTTGATAGTTTTTAACTTCAACAAAAAGCATAAATGATTATCTTTAAGTGCCTTTGTCAGATGATATTGTACAAGTGGAATCAGATGGGATTCTTATGTAATGCCAGTTTTAAGTGATAGCTGGATAGGGAGTATTCTAGAAATACTAGCCATATCAGATTTATAAGGAAATTGAGTTGATAAATTCCCAATGAGTAGAGTGAAGAACCATTCACAATGTTCAGAAAGTCTTTTCTATCAGTTTAAAGCACTATTATGAAGTATATTTTTTTCTAAGTTTTGTAATCATTGCTGTCCTGTTTTTGATGAGTCAAAAATTACATAATTTCAATTTTCCAAAATAAGATACATATATTACAAAATATTACAGTAGAAAGCTGTTTTATTGAATTCTCATGCCAAAATTAAAGTTTCAGGTTTGTACCTGAAATGTATACTTTTTTTTTTTTTTAGGGCAAGTTTAGTATGGCATACTCTGACCTGTTTTTGCCCTATTGCACTTCTGATTGATTTTATGTAGTGTAAATAGTTTTTCTATTGAGATACTACTGAAAAAATATCTTCATTTCTGTTGTGCTATCAACTATAGAAAGAAGTTGCAAGACATTAATTCTTGAAATGAAAATTATTAGCAAAATTGGCCCTTCTGCATCGTATTTTTATGATTGTTTTTCACAACTTTCCTAGTATTTAGAATTATTGATTCCATTAGCCTTATCTTTCTCCTACTTCAAGATTACCTATATAACATTACATTTATAGTGATTTTTAATTTGTGTGAAGCCTGCATCTTCAGTTATATTCTTAAAATTGGCTTTTTGTCCAATAGCAAAGGTGATGAAAAATTTCAAAGTTCTGACAAACTTTGAATGGTCAAAAGTTTGCTATTTGAGCCACCAAGATAAATTTGGTACCATTTTTTTTTTTTTTTTTGTTCGTCAAGATCTTTATGTCTGTATTAAAGATTTTTAGATATATTGAAATTAAAAACTTTAGTTTGGGATGTCTAATAAAAGGACCGTTACCTTTATCATCCAAGTCTGTAAGTGTGGATTTAGTTTTAAGTTGTGGAAGTTGAGCTAATTAAAGTTCCACACAATTTTATGAGTACTAATTTGCTTCAATTAGAATTAGCATAGATTTGTACCTTTGTGAATTTTTATGAAAGAAAATCTGATATTTTCACATAAAAGTAGATGTTTACTCTCAAGACTATCAATATATATCTAAATGTTATAGAAGTAATTTTCACTTGATTTAAGGAAATGGTTATGATAAAGGCCAAGTTGTCTGTGTCACCCTTCCATAAGAACAAAATAACCCAGTCCGTAATGTTCTGAATGAACACCAACCATGTGTAACAAATGGTATTTACACAAGTTATTTATGTAACATTTTCAAAAGCATATTTTAATGTCATTTTTAATTAAAATTTTAAAAATTGCCAAATTTAAGCAATGATTCAAAGTTTTAATTCATTATATAGAAAAAAAATTTATTCACCTTGTCACAATTCAGTCCTAACTGAAAAGGATGTTTATATTTTGGTGTTCTTTAAACGTAATCTTGGCTAAATTTTTTTAAGAAACAAAATTTTAAAATATTAAAACTTATAGAATTCTATAATTTTTCATCCCATTAACATGGATTACAATCTTATTTCCTACAGTCTTTGTAGTAACCGTTGTCATCTAACATTTCACATTAAAACTAATTATTTGAGTGGAGCTGAAAAAAAAAAAAAAAAAAAAAAAAATCAATTTTATAAGACAAAATCTGTTTAATAAGACTTAAAACTGCACTGAATTATTTAAACAATTGAAAAATATTAAGTTTGCTGATTATCATTAATACAAATATTAGATTTTTCAAATGTTTTATGATCAGCTCTTATGTCAAGAGCAAGAAATTCAAGTTAGCATTATGACAAGATTTTTACAAAAATATTTTTGCTGAAAGTATTTATAGAGAAATTTTAGAGTTAAAGAGGACTATTACATGTCTGTAGGATGGGTATTTGGTTAATTTTTAAGAGTGGATTTGATAGACCCAGGTACTAATTAAAGAAGCACAAATATTGATCATGTATTGTTTGATGAATATTACATTTAAAAATTACCAATAAGAATATCTAAGTTCATAAAATTTTAAATTAAAAAAAAAAAAACAAAAACAAACTAAATCTGAGTAGCAATTTATGGCTCTGCATACTGAAATATATTAGGCTGGAAATATATAAAATTAAAAAATTAATGAACAAAAGTGGAAGGAAAACTAAGAAAATAAAAAAGTCATTGAAATAAATATTCTTTCATTTGAAGATAGGAGTGCTTTAAGGGAATTATGAAACAAACTGAATATTTATTTCTTGTGAGAAATAAAGAATTTGCTCTTCAGTCCTAAGATTGACTGAATGAAAAATGCAAATATTCATGAGTATAAACAAATATTTAACAATGAAACATTTCAAAAATCTGAATGCTCACCCCCAAGTAGTTGCTGCATGTAGGAGGAATGGGTGAGACTGACAGATGAGATTCCAGAGGGTTGCCCCTTATGGCTTGTGATGATGGATGTGGAGTTAAATGCATCATTGAATAAAAAGGATCTGGACAACCTCGTAGACCTTCTAATAACTGTAACAATAAGCAAAACAATAGGGCAATGCTACATCTTTCTTTCGATTAGAAAGAAAACAATTTCAGCAGTGACAGGATTCTTTCATAAACTGAAAATCTTGTTAAAGGTTAAATTATTCTACAAGACATTTTCTAATTTTATAGAAAAATTTAGCAGTAACTTTTTTTTTTATAAAAAGGGATAGACTATATATTTAGTGTTTTCAAATAAGACAAATTTTGAGAAAGTCTAAGTCTGCAAAATTGCATACAGTTCCACAATCAGATTTTGGTAGTACTTTGTGGCACAGGATTCAAAAAGCAGGCAAGAGATATCAAAAACCAAAACTGGTACCAACATTGACTAACCTTTAATTTCAAAGTATTTGGTAAAATTAATATGTATTGAGGCAATACATTTTTACTAAACCTTCCCTCCCGATAGAGAATATTGTGGAAATGGAATTTTTAAATAGTTTATCCAAAGATTTTAGCAGCAGTAAAGATTTTTAAATCAATCCTGTATATTTATGAGGCAAGGAACTTCTCTGCCTTTCCTTTCCAGCTTTCAATAATTGCTCTTATATTTAAATTTAAAACAGGTTTTTCAAAAGGCAGGTACCAAAGTCTAACTCTTATTGCAAAGGAATGTAGGATGTAGTACTTTTAATAAGAGAAATTAATTGCTGCCACAAAGATAATCGGCGGGAGGGGGGGGGAATGTTTTTAACAATTATAGAGACTAGAGCAAATGCACTTTTCTCTAATTGTTAATGAAAGATACTTAATCCTTTACTGATTTTATTGGTGGTGTTGGTGGGGTGGTAGTAGGGAAAGGAGACATGTTTATGTTAATATACTTTGGCAATTAAAGAGAAGGATAAGTTAAGATTATATTGTGATAAAGGATCATGAATGACTACAGCCAAACATCTAAGTCAAATTATATTTGCCTATGAATTATGAACCCAAGAAAATCAGCAAGCATAATGTGGATTGCTTTGCCATGCAAGAAAATAAAGTGTGCTACATGCTGAAGTGACAATGCAGCTTAGTGTGAAAAGCCAATAATTTTTTTTTTTTTTTTTTTAAGGATTTCAGAATGAAATTACCAATTACATTAAGTTCAGTTAAGCAAAGTTTTATTTTAAACCCAATAGGATTTAAGTAGAGAATATGTGGGTAAAATTAGAAAATAAGAGCTTTTTGCTAAAAGAATTTCTGGAAAAGAAAAATGCAATTACAAAAGCATTTTTTTTTTTTTTAATTTGACAATCAATGGTGCAAAAACATGTACAAGACAAGTCACAAATATTTATTACATCATAAATCAATTAGTGGCTGCTGTATTTAATATATTCTTGTTAATTTGGGTTGTGACAGTTTACGAATCTGAGGTACAGTTTCAAGGAGGTAAAGTTGAATTTAGTAAATAAAATGTGATACAGGCTTCTAACAAATCAAGTTATCTTACATGCTTGTAAAACCATCAGTTGTAGTTTGATGGGGGGGAGTAAATAATTTAACAACTAAAAAGGAAATATGAAATTTAGAAATTTTTAAACAAACATGCAGTATTTTGAATCAAGATCCATTAACAGTTTAGTGTAAAAGATGCAGGAATGTTTGAACTTTTCTTTCATTTAGTTTATCAACTAAAGATTAATTGAATCAAGTAGTGCTGGTCAAATTGGATTTAAATTAAGTTAGTTTTACTTACTACAATACATAGAGAAAGACATTTAAAGCATTTTCTGTAGCTGTCAAGTGGTGTAAGTATTGATACAAAGAAAGGAATTTTTTTAAAAGATTTTATCAAGTACTTATTTTCAGGCAAATTCATGAAAATTGGTCTTAATTTTAAACAACTGCAAGATAAACTTGCATTATTTTCTATTGAAAATGAATTAGTAAATGCATGAAAATTGAAACTTTCATTCAACTGATTATAATTTAAGAGGGAGTTTTTAGATTGAAATTAATGAATATGCCAAAAACTTGCTTTAAAATATTAAAGACCTATAGTACAGGTTATTCACATGAATATGGCTTTACTTTAAAAAGGTCCAAGAAATAGTGGCTTGGCAAGAAAAAGAAAAAACTTCAACACTTCAAATGCTCTAAAACCATTAAAAGATCCAGGGTGTTTACGTCCAATAATTTTCAACTGATAATTGATTTAAGATTTATTCTGCAATTCATAAATTTAATCCTTTGTACTTAATTGTTACAGCAAATACAAAACACCTAATGCACTTGAAAATATGACATTTCTTAGTTCTTAAATAAAAATTAGATAAATTGAAAATTTTAGATAAATTCATAACCATTTTAAGTTAGAAATAATTTTTCTTCATTTTTACTTTTTTTTTTATAAAAAGGCATATAAATCCCAACCCTTAAGAAGGAGACATTTTACATCTTTACAGGATCAGCAATGCTTACTTCATCTTAAAAAGTAAACTGGTGAATTGTCATACAAAGTTTGTTTAAATCTTCCTGATCTTAAAAATTTTCTATTTTTAAAAAAAATTTCAAAATAGAAATTTACAGATTTTCAGTTTCTGGTTTGGATGTAACCTGAATTGGAAATTAGCTATAAAAATGAAACATTTTCGTTTTTATATTTTTCTATGTAATAAGCAAGCAGATTGTGAGTTTTAGATAACAGGTATACTTGGAGCAAAGGATAGTGTTGGTAACTATAAAATGAGCTTTTGATTCTAATAAGTTGGAAACAAGCAAACAAAAGAATGGTGCAACAATTATAGGAAGAAAATGAAAAAGAATGATGAATAATGTGTGAGTGAGAGTTACGCATGAAATGGAGAAACAAAAAAGCAAAACAAAAATGAAATGCTGACAAAATATGCACAGCAAATATTCAGACTGCTTAACATTTATGGTTAGAAATTACAATCTTCCACAGTTGATTATTTTCCTGTTTTGTTAAAGTGTAGAGTATAGAAGTAAAGAAAAAAAAAAAAAAAAAAAAAAAAAAAGAAATGTGTCCAAGATCAGTTCAGAATACTGTAGATAAAAAGAAAGAAATGAACAGATATCAATAGAGAAGCCTTTCAATTAAGCATATGAATAGAAACAGTAAAGATAATATCAATGCCAGAATGCTAGCAAGGCTAAGTTAGTAAACTTATAATTTAAGCTTACTAGGAGTACAAAACTGCTTTGATTAAATTATTTATTGTGCCTTGCGAGCATTCTAAGTTTGCCTTATTTTCATTGTTTATTTTTGGGAGAACTTTCTTACAACCCTGTAAGAATATATCCATTATATATAGTTGTAAGACAAAGGAAAAGCAAAGACTTTTTCAAAATAATCTTTATGGAAAGTTTCGATTTGTTTTGAGAATAAAGAATTCTTGGAGGGGGGGGGGAATAAAAAATTGAATTTTGTTCATTAAAAGTTACAGAAACTACATTTCAATAATTAAGCAAACTTACATTTTTGAGAGCTGATGAAAGATTCTCGGCCGATGAGGCTTGTTCTGTACTTGCCACTGAAGCTCGTGTCTCTGACACCTCACTAAGACTAGGAGTGGAATTGCTCTTGCGGTTTGTTATGCTCACCTAACCATTTCAGAATGGAAAGGAAAAATTCAGATTTCATCATTGTATTTGCACTGTGTGTGTGTGTGTGTGTGTGTGTGTGGATGTATGTATGATTTTTTTTTTATAGGAATAAAAACTGAAAATAAGGTGGTCACCTGACTGTATAACTAATGGTAGCAGGTGCAAATTTTGTAGCAGAGATAAAAAGTGACCAAAAACAGAAAATGGATACAAAAGGAGAAAAAGTGAACCAATAATAAAAAAAAAAAAAAAAAAAAAAAACTACAAGGACTCATGCCTCCATTCAAAGAAAAAAAAAAAAAAAAAAGAAAAATATTTCTCCCTAACCCTCTTACCACGTCTGCTCAAAACAGAAAATTCCAAACTGAAGGAAAATATTTTGTTCATATAGTGTAACCTGGATATAAGAGATTTTCTCTGGTCCCAAATTAGAGCCTGTGTTACCTAAACAAAATAGACCAAACCCGGATATAAGAGAAACCCGGATATAAGAGACTTCTTCTCCGGTCCCGACAACTCTCTTATATCCGGGTTACACTGTACTTTGTTGAAAAACCAATAAAATTTGGTTAAATCTTCAGTTCATGACTTTTCAAAGGAAACTTGGAAAATTGTCTAATGTACTCCAGGGACTTTTAGCTTTCATGAGCCTTATCAAAAGTTCTGTGTTGCCTATGTATATAGTAATTTCAAGTGTAGTTTCAATGAAGCACAAGGCTTAAAGTATGGGGCACCCATTGAGAATTGAGCTATTTAGTTGTAATTGATCTAGTGAAACAAGGTTACTAGTTATTACACCAGGTTGAAGTGTCTAATGTATTCTAAGGAATTTTAGTTTCCATGAGCCTTATCAAAAGTTCTGTGTTGCCTATAAATGCAATGGTCTTTTGTGATTTTAAATTGTCAGGTTGGTATTTTTCAAGAACAATCTTCACATGTCAGTTTGTAGTGTCCAGTCTTATTTATAAAATATATTTATACCTAAACTAAATAAAGTTTAGAGATACTCTGGGTTATTATAGTTAAGGCCATTATTAGTTTTTATTTTTGATAGTTTATGGCATATTATTTTTGTTGTCATTCATAAGCATTTAGTGGTTGATATACAGAAGTTTTAGTTCAAGTTTTCTGCAAAATCTGGAAAAATTGTCCAAATTCAAAAAAAATTTGGAATGATTACCTTACTTGATGTTCAACACCAAATATAAATGTGTGTGTGTGCGTGTGTGTATATATATATATATATATATACACACACACACAGGTTTTTTATATAAAGCTGTAATAAATAAAACCTTGATGCTTTTTTACATCATTAAGGAATACTAAAGTTTTAAATTAATCCACATTAAATATCACATTAAAAGACATTTGACTTACAAACCATGAAGGAAAGAAATGAATTAGGAAATATGTTCACTTTATTTTACTTAGCAAAAACTAACTAAATAACATATGCAAAACATTTAACAGCTGAAGATTATGGCTTCATAAAATGTGCTGTAAACTAAACTATTTAAAATAGCATATAATTTTTTCAAACCATGCAAAGGAGTGGAAGATTTTTAGAAGTAATACTTTAGTTTGCCCTCCTAGGTTTTATGACCAGATTTTACTAATTGAAAGCAATGTTCTTTAACAAAGTTTTTACAACTTTCCAAAATGGCAATTAATAGGTAACTGGCAGATGGATTATAGATTTTTTTTTGTTCCCAGCATAAATGTTCAATTAGATTGAGACTGTTTAGTGGCCATTCCATTGATTTTATGCTTTTCCTGAAGAAAAAGCCTTTAATTCCTTATTGTCCTAAAAAGGGGACTTCAATTTTCTATCAATAGAAGGAAACTGTCATAAATGACTTGGGGGGGTTGTTTTCTCCAAGCAGTCATTTTGTTTGATTTGAACAGCACCTGACAAAAATTCCAGCATCATCACCTTGACCAATACAGATTGATTCATCACTGAATACCACTTTCATCAAATTGTCCACATGCTATGATTTGTTCTCATTAGCCCACTAACTTTATTTTCTTCTGTGTGGGTGTGCTAGTTTACATTAGGATTTACATACAGAAAAGCCAATTTCATTCAGTCAGTTTTTTACCATTCTGTCACAAACAATGGTCTGTTTCAACCTATCTGCTTTGTTGCACATTTTCTATTTTCAAGGCATATTCTGAATTTTCTATCCTGATGCATTGAGCTATATCAGTAGACAGTCTACCATGGATTGCATACTCAAAGGAGTTTTAAGATGTTTTCATGGATATAGTTCTTTTGTTGGTACCATGTTTCCTTTCAATTAAGGTTGCCCAACTACAGATCAATTTGCATATCTAGGCTTCAGCTAACATTTGTTTTAGGAGCACAAATTACAAGACAATTCCATGATTTTTTTTCAACAATGGTTTATTCTACATTAATTGAATCTATTCAAAAAGGTATATTTTAATGGAGCCAGAATATTCATCTACTGAATGTTTCATTTCTTGCTATTTGTTGCCAAAGAAAAAAAAAAGTGAACATCCAACTGTGACTAATTCCATAATTTTTGCTAGGTTATGCAACATCTGTACCTACATTAAGTTATTCAAAACATACTAAATTCAGCCAACCTTTGACATTATCAACAGTCAACATCTTAATACTTTACATTTAAGACTTACAAGCTTAATAAAATGTTAATTTCTAGTTTTGCAGATAAGGTTAAATTTACTATTTACTTAAAGAAAAAAGAAAAAAGTCTAATTTCCTAATAGTTTAACTCTGGAATTTGGGAATTCATTTTCACTATAATGACTGAGAAAGAATCCCATGTTAAATCTTTTCCTAAGTCTGGCCATCTTTGAACACTTATGGCAGAAATAGGATATTCAGGTTAAGTGTAAATACAAGTAGCTTTTTCTTTTACACTGCTACAATGTCATATAATGCAAACAAGCTTCCAAGAGTCAAAATTATGTCTCCCATTTTTGCCAAATCTGAAGTTATAGCATTTTCTTTAAGATTTTGGTATAATCTTGTGATGTGGGACAAATGAAGAGAGATTAATTTCAATGCATCAAATGACCTGCAAATACACTACATTCTGGTAAAAGACTAAAATACAGTGAAGTAGAGAGAACAAATATGTAGAATAATTTTTCCAAGATTAATATTTTCATAGTAAAATTAAATATGAACATTTATACCTTTACTTTTTCCATAAAAGAAGATCCAGTTCTTTGTTTATTAGTTAAACCTGTTTGCTCTGCCTTTGACCTTGCCTTTTCAGGATCATATGATGGCGCAAGTTGTAGATCAAATTTGCCCTCTGCTCCCATGCGATAAGAATTGGAACCACCAAAATCCCATGTCACATCAACCCATCCTGAAATGTAATATGAAGTTCCAATTGTTTATTATGTACAAATTACCAATTTAAGTTTGATTACAAATAAAACAAGGACAGTTTACAAAGTTAGAAGCATGTTTAGCAAATTTTAGAAATTCAGGTTTTTATCAAGAAATCTATGCAAGTTGAGAACTATTTTTGGTAGCAATCATTTTCTTTCTGAAGTTATCTTTTATGCTAAAAATTTATATCTAAGAGTTTTATACTGTTATTTTAGATTAAAGCCAATTATTCAAAATTAACAAGGATTTACTATGATTGCAACTATTTTGAATAAAAAAAATAGAGGAGAGAGAAAGAGGGAGAGAGAGGGGGAGAGAGAGGAGAGAGAGAGAAACCAACCATTATGTAGTTCCCCTGTAACAAGTCCCTCACCAGGTGGGTTACCGTCTTGATCTCTCCACTTCCAATCCATTCCACGGACAACACGGGCACCATGCTGTATTTGTCTGAGAACTTGACATTTTATGATTCTTCTTTGTCGTCTTAGATTTGCTTCAGCTTCTCTAGCGGCTTTTCCTAAAATTAAGTAAAAAAAAAAAAAAAAAAAAAAAAAGTAATACAGGTAGTGGCAGTCATATATGCATACCTTGTACCTTATTTATGTTTGAATAGTAAATGCAGTTTACAAGTTTTGTTTTTTATTGTTATACTACCATTTCATGCATCTAAAGATTTTAAGACTAACAAGTAAAAATTTTAGTCACTTTTATAAAAGTACTGAGTCTTGAAATAGTAAGTTGATATCTAAATGCCTTACTATCACAAGCTTTGGTTGATTTTGTTTAGTGGTATATCAACCTCTATGGGTTACTCAATGCTGAAATTTAAATGCTTTGAACAGTTCTATGGCTTCAACTAAATATATTTACTATTTGCTCATAGTGGGGACCATAAACATTACTTAAGAGGTGGTTCCATGCTCCTCCAAACTCCCAATCAGAGGCCTTGCTGACAGATGTAGTTTGTCGTTATACCCGAGACTATCACAAGGTTTGGAAAATAAACATCCTAAAACGTATTAACAGTAACTAGTAGCTTTTTTAATATTAACTTAAATATTTAAGTTGAGACGAAGTAGCAGCTAACAATTTTACTTACCAATATCATCACAGACCCCAGTAACTTTGCCATAGATTTCAAAGCCAGAAAGAGAGAGATAATGGGTTTGACCACTGGCATTTTTCCCAGCTTGTTGTAGCCGCACATGTCTCCATCCTTGGGTTTCTTCAACTGGACATTCAATTGGCCATGATGCAGTGGATCTAAGATAGAAAAGTAAGTAAATCTTAAGATTGGGGTGGGTGTGTGTGTGTGTGTGGGGGGGTATCATACAGGAATGATCAAAGAAAATTTGGCAAGTGTCCACAGAAGAAATATGAAGCACATTTGTCAAGTTGTCATTTGTCTTCTGCTTCATCCTCATTACCAAGGACATATGGTTAGGTTTTCTAATCATCTAGCATGTAATTAATTTATGTAGACACTTATCTTAAATAGTATGCATTTTTGAGAATATGAAGTTAATGTCTTTCTGCAATGCTTAAGGTTTATAAAGAAACAATTGACCTACAGTCATTTAAAAATTGTTACTTAATTTCGATTTTGTAAAAATTGAGTTCATTTATGCACTTTTAGCGATTTAATAATCTTTACAAAGAGAGACGCACAGATTTAATAATCTTGAGAGAGAGAAAAAAAAAATAAAGAAAAGTGAATTCTTACCCTGGCTCATTCAGAGAGCAATCATCAACATGATTATATAGAGTGAGCCAATTCTGACCATCTTTGGATACTTGAAACTGCCAATTCCTTAGAGCAGATCTGCAAGATAAATTGATTACTAAGTTTTATTTTTCAAATTAAAATTGTTTCCAAGTTAAAACTTCAAAATTGATTAAATGCAATGTCGCAATTTATTTTTTTTTATTTTTAAAATCATTAAAATTATTTCACTTAAGATTTTTACCTTCCATATCCTCTTGCATGACGCAAGGTGTAACAGCTTGGAATAATCCAGACACCCAAATCAATAGCAAAATAGGCTTTTCTAGGGGGAGAAAAAATAAAAAAAAATAAAATAAAACTCATTAAGTTTTTCCCCATTTGTTAAAGCTCTCTTAATAGTGTAATTGTTTAGTTTTACTTTGATGCTTAACTATTACAATTATAACATCTTTCGAGAAATATGCAGAGTTAACTTGTGATTATATTTACAAAAAAAAAAAAAAAAAAAAAAAAAAAATTGTTAAAGACATTTTAAAGTGATAAGATAAATATACAGTCATTTAAGGCTGTCTGATATAGAAAGCACAAATATTTTTTTAAATTACTATAAATATCAATTAAAGTGGCCCAATTACTTACTTGTCATCATTGCTATGACAGTTTATAGCAGATGAATCTCTGCTAAGTATATCTTCAAGTTTCCCATATGGGAGATTTCTGCCCTCTGATGAAGTAACAAATACCAAACTATATTGGGCAGGATTAACCCATTCATATGCAGTTCTTTAAGAGAAGAAAAATAAAATATTAAATGACAAAAAAAACAAAAAAAAAACAACGTCTACCAACTGTAGGTATCACTAGCTAAGCATAGTTTTTATGTCAGGAAAAGTAACCACTTGTACAAGACCAAGAATACAAGCAATGTATACTCAAGTATTGTTTTTATTAGCACAGAACTTAGACTAATTTTGGCTTCAAGTTTTAGAAATTGTTTAAATGAGCATTAAAAATAAATTTAAGTTTACAGAGATTTTTTTCAATTTCAGGTTCTAAGATTATATATTCATAATATATGAGCAAACTTTAAAAGTCTCTTTCTCATAGCACAAGATCCAAATTAGTTTATTTTATAATAAAAATTCACGAACTTACTTGGCATTTGTGCCAATCCAATATATCAAACCATTTTCATCGAAATCTCTTTGGTGTGTAAAAGTTATTGTGGTCCCAGGCTCTTTCAATTTCTTTACAAAAGTGAAAGTAGATCTATCATAATCATACCATTGTTTGGCAACCTGTAAATTGAAATTAACATTTGGAGAATTATCAATACAAATATGAATAACAAAATTTAATTTAATTTTTAGAGGCCTTTACAGAAGATTAAACAATTTCAAAAGACTAAACTAGGTTTTAATCTATTCAGAAATTTGCTTCAAAATATTTAAAGTAATTAATCAGAGACTAGTTTTAATCCAGCATTAAAAAAAAAAAAAAAAAAAAAAAAAAAAAAAAAAAATGTATTTAAGATTCTTACCATTTTTAAGAGGTATCTTTCCAAAGCCGACACTGTTGTAAGGGGTTCCATTTTTAAGGTACGATTTGATCTATCAATCAGACCAGTTTCTCCAGCAGCTCTTTCTAAAACGAAATCTAAGTCTTGAGTAAGGATCTTTAAGGAAAAAAAAAAAAAAAAAAAAAAATATATATATATATATATATATATATATATATATACACACACAGATACAAGTTAGATACATTTACCCTCCCTCCATACACACGCTTTTAGTTTTGGTATTTGATACAAAATTAATATTTGTTGCAATATTTACCTGTAGACCATAACCAGAACCAGGTAGATCATAGCTATACACTGAGAGTTTTTCAATGGACTCTAGTACTGCAACAAGTTTCTTCACTAATGCCACAGCAGGATTAAATGCACTGAAATGCAAAATGAATTGATATTATAGAAGTCAGAATAAATTATCACATCAATCAAGTATCAAGGACACAAACTAAATTCTATTCTAATAATTCCCTCCCCCACCACACTTCTCGCCAGCTGAAGTCTTCCAGCCTCTTGCTTTCCAATCAACTTTGCCATTACATTTAAATTTTTGAAGATCAATCATAATCTGTTTCTTTGAATCTTGTTCTTTTTATTGTCCCCTCATTTTTAATGTTTTCTTTGTTTCATTCTCAGAATCCAAGCCACTAAGGCAAAAACGGTTTCTGAGAGTGAAATAAAACAAGAAAATTCATTAAGGAGAGGAGGAGAAAAAAAAAAAAGTCACAGGGCAGGTACTTAGCGGATTAGAGTATTGGTTTTTGAATTTGGTAATTAATTGTAAGTTCAATCTCAGGGCCAGGTAGAATAGACAGATTCACTAGAAACAGTAACTGAGCAATACTAAATAAGGCAATATATCCTTAGTCATGGGCAGTCAAATGAGAACCATCTGCCTACATAGATTGTATAAAGGGTTCAATTCTAAATTAGCAAGATCAATAATCACCTGAGGTAGACACAATGGTCAAAATGTGATTAAAAAGATGACAATAGTCTGAATGTAAAAAGGTAAAGAAAAGTGCAAGTAATTTGGTATTTATGAATTTCTTTACAATAAAAAAAAAAAAAAAAAAAAAAATTGAAAGTTAAAATCCTATCCTCACTAGATAGATTATTACGAATCCAGCAAGATCAAAACATTTAAATTTAAAATCAATCCCATGAAATTTGTAAAAACAAACAATTATCAATATAAAGAATAATACTATTTGCTACAACTCAAAATTGAAAATAGGTTACTCACCCTGCCTTTTTTTGAAAAATCCTCTTGAAAAGTTTTATTCTTTCATTTGTTCTTTTCATGCCTGCTCTTGTTTGCATATCTTCAAGATTCTACAAGAATGAATGTTTCAACTTTTTATTCCACTGACAACCACTATTAGTAGATCTTGTAGGTAATGGATATTTGAATGCAAGTAAGGTGAATCCAAAGAGGCTCAACAACTGTAGAGTTCTATTGACAAGTAGAGGGATATTATTAGTATTATTATTTACTACCTTAACAATTGATAGGCTGATTCAGCAAAACTTGCTAAGCAATTAAGTCTACCTTTTACACTTGGATTAACAAGACACTGGGGTAGGTATAAAGTTCATTAGTTTTATTTAAACTTGCAATATTTTAATTTTATATATTGGAATAAGAATCACCTTGAATGGAAGTAAAATTTAAGACTAGAGTTTGAGAATCTTAAATTATAAGTGAAAGTTGTTAAATTAAATCTTTAAAATTCTTAACATGTCACTCAATGAAATTGAAATCTTATTGAGTCAGATAAAAATTTGTGCTATTTATTATTTGAGATTTTCTATTTTGTGCACTAAATAAACTTACATTGTTGAGGATGTTGAGTAGTGTTTGCACTAAACCACTACTTGATAATTCAAAAGATGAAACTGTATGTTCATCTTTTAATAAAGTTGTAAGTTCTTCCAAGGCAGAAAGCATGTCTTCTTCCCATTCAACTTCTCCAGTTGGAGACTGAAAAATAAAATTCAAACTATGCTAGATAATCATTTTCATGTAGTACTATTTTCATAAGCATTTATACAAGAGCCTTTAATTTGCATTTAGCATATTATAACTTACTGAAAGTGTACAAGACAAAAAGTTGCAGTAATCACTCATTAAAATTCTAATCTTTATTTAATCTTCTTAGATTGAAATTATGTTTAAATTATTAAATTTAACAAGAGAATTCCAATTATAGCAATTATGTTTCACTGTGCATTCTTTTTAAACTGATAAGAATCCTACCTTGATCTGACTAATCTGTTTAGCATAGGAGGCTTCAAGTCTATGTACAATGTTTTTGATTCTGGCAACGATCCCTCGGGGAGAGGCTTCTGCTGCTCTGAAGTATTGCTCATACAATTCACGAGCCAGTGTTCTCACCTACAAATTAAAAGATTTAAACTTGTCTACAAAGGGATTATCACAATATAAAGAAAAAATATGTATCAAAGCTTAAAATGGTTAGGACAATGTTGAAAATACATAAAGAAACTCACTTTCATTCTTAGTGCATCAATTTTTGTTCGGGATTTTTTACTCTTTTTTCCACCCCATCCACAAGCAAATTCTGGACCCAAGGTGGTTTCAGCAGTAAATGAATGCCTAGTTCCACGGTTGGAGACAAAAATAAATCCAGGTAAATCTTCGCCCAAGAGAGTTGATTGCTAGAACAAACATGAAAAACAAATTAAATATCCAAAGACTAGTTTTTCTAGTAAAAGTCTAAATATAAATATTTCCTATAATTTGAAAAGAACAAAAGAATTTATGTACCTGCTGTCCATCTGAATTATGAATTTGCATTTCACCAACTTTTCGGCACATCAATACCCAGTTCCCAACAATCAAACTAACAGCATCAGGCTTAGATACAATTGGCTGACTCATTGTACCTACACGTATTTGGCTTCGTGCTTTCTGTAACTTTTCAACAAATTCACCTCTGTTTTCTGTACAAAAGAAAAATTTACATTGCTGATCAGAATATACCAAGATTAAAAATGTGTCTTTGACAACATTGAAATTCAAATGACATGCATTCATTAAATCAGAAGTTAGAATATTTTCAGAAACTACAAGTATTTCGAATACAAACTGGCATAAAAAGTTTAATTTTATGTTTAATAATCAGAAGAGTGAGATTATATATATATATATATATATATATATATATATATATAATCTTAAAGTAAATCCATGAGCTAAAAAAATAAAAAAAAGAAGATATGGTCTAAATTATGGAAAGGGAATCCATGTATTGACAACCAGTTTAATCTGAAGATAGGCTAATTCAAATCAGGAGTGAAACTTAAGGCAATTAGATTGTAAATGACTTTCAGCAGCTCATGTCTCATATATTCTTGAAATAGTACTGTAGTAAAAATTCAGAGTTAGCAAGCCAGAGGTGGATTAAAAAAATTGGCAACAATTGACACATTATAAGACAAGTGAAAAAAAGTTTCATGCACACTAAACTGTACTTGTTATGTTCTCAAATCTTGTAATCATGGTAATATTGAGGATACACCAGGAGTATCTCAAAACCAAACTGTTGATTGAAAAGCTCAAATGGGTCTAAGCTTCTTGCCATATCCAACTGGATGCAGTAGTAAATTTTGCAATATATTTCTATCATTTACCAGATCCTTATAGTTACAAATTTGAACACAGCTTGTTCCTTGTTTTTAGGCTTAATTTTCCAAGTTTTATGACAGTATCAAGTTGTACAGAATTAACAACTTATCAGCTTTCAATTTGATGCTAGACCAGCTATTTAATCCAAGCAGCATTTTTTAAAAATTTCCAGGTGCCTTGAACAAGTAACTGTTTCAGAAAGTGGATTCACTGGATACATATAAATAATTAACCCAGTTAATAAGCTCAAACTAAACAGCTGTACATTCATGCCAGTTTAAATTCATTAATATTTAAAATTTCATTGTTTCATCTACCAAATTTAAATGGATTTTTTTTTTTCCTGGAGTTATTTTTCATACAAAATGATAGAATATTTACCAGAACTATCTGATCCTCCTTCAGGACTGCCACTAGAATACATGGTAGCAAGCTTGCTGTCTAGTATAAAGCGAAACCAACCATTGCTCCCATTGGATAGTTCTAAGGCAGCAGCATCACTCCAAAGATAAAGGCAATCACGCCCACGGACAATACTCCAGTCTTTCCAGTGATAAGGCTTTCCTGGCAATATTTCTTTTGCATCTTCCATCACTGGCTCCTCCTCTTCCTGAAGCAAGAATTTAGAAGATAATTGGAATTGTCTGAGACATTACCAAAAGTAAGTTTTTATATATTGCAATCAAAACTACCATATTTCCTGGAGTTAAGATATCACCATCACTATATTAAGAAAAATTTCAATGTTCTAGAAATTGCTTTTAAAATTAAGTTTTATTTTTCTTTTAAGATTTTTGAAAGTCAAAACTGATGTTATCAATACCAGGAAATAGGGTAGATCAAAGACCAAATGAAAAAAGAATTTACAATTTTTTTTGCTTCAAAATTACCTTCTCTTTGGCTTCTTCTTCTTCAAGAGGACCAACCAAAGCAAGTACCCGCCCAAATAAGCCTAAACGTGCAAAGTGCTCCAAGTATATCTCCTGACCTTTTTTCATCAAATCCTGTACAATTTGTAATGCTATCAAGTGACCATTGTCATCTTCCTGTAAGAAAAAGTTTAAATCAAGCTAAAGTAAAAATATATGCATGGACTCTCAAAGATTTAACTTTAGTTTTAAATTCATGTTGTTAATATGAAGTTATGCAAATTCCAAGATTTGTAATAGTTAAATTCTGCTAATTATATATAGTGAGGAAAGGCTTCATACTTACTTCATTATCCAACACTGTGGCAATTACTTCAGTAAGTGAAGAGCCAAAATTTGGACTACTAAATTCAGAACAACTCATCTCTGCTAGTAATGGTCCACTGATGTAATGAACCATTTTTCTGATGAGAGATAAACTTGCTTTCCTGAAAAAAAGACATTTTAAATGTTAGAATTAAAATATATAGTGTTGAATTTAAAATCATTCAATCATCTTCCAAATTTCATTTAAAATTTTAAGAACTATATTCTTAATGGAAATTCTTGTATATAAATAATTTTTAAACTTAAATCAAACAGATTTATATAAGAATCCAAGAAAATCTTACCTGACTGATGTTAGCATAGAACCATGAAATACTTGTGCAAAAACAGGTAAGAGACCTCTGATATAGATGGGTGCCACTTCAGGATCACCTTTCGGTTCTGTACATTCACCTTTGTCTTCTTCAATTAAGTCTTTCTCTCGATCACTTTCTCCTTGAGCATTATCACGTTGAACAGGTACCATCCATTCTCCTAGCAAATTAGATAAGTGTTGGCATAATATAAACACCAAACAATTATTAAAAGAATTAAATTATTAAATTATATTATAAGGATATATAAATAAATATATTACAAACCTGGTGATTGAAGAATTTGGATGACTTCTCTGTGCCCTTCATCATTTCTTTCTCTGGCTTTATCCAAAGGAGTTTTTCCATCTTCATCCCTAAGATCAGGGTTTGCTCCATAACGCAGAAGAGTCTTTAAATGAATTTAAAAAATATAAGCGACAATTAGTAATTATATTGGTCAAAAAAGTACTTTCATACAAAGAAATTATCTGTGTTTGACTAGTATGATGTATATTTATAACATTTAAATTACTTGAATGAAGGTTTAGCCTATTTAAGTGTGAGTATAAAGATCCCCAAACCCGTTTTTTTAACTGTTAGTAGATGAGTGGGTCAATCTATTGGCCAAAATATCTAATGACAAAGATGACTGGGCTGATCCATTGGCCTGATAATACAAACTTTGAGATTAGCTGGCTGGTCTTCATACCAGCCAATCAGATTGCTTATCACATTTCTTGCTCATTTGGGCCTTTCAATGATAGTTTGCAGTGTTCTGTGATTTTATATCAATTTTTTTGTGTTCCAAGTGAAGGCTTTTGAAAAGGACTATCTTCTTGGCACTGAAACTCCAAATAAAACTCAGTCTCGAAGGGTTAATAATTTTCCATTATTTTTTTTTTTTTTAATATAACTAAACCTACTATTGAAGTAATTACAATAACTTACAAGATTTGAACAGAATTTTAGAAAACTATCTTTAAACATTTAAGAACCAATTAGATTCTGTTGATTAAAAAAGAAAATTTCCCCCCACAAAGCATCAAACTTCAGAGATAAGTTAAACACTGTTCCTTACCTTTACAATTTGGGGTCGACCAAAACATGCTGCATAATGCAGAGATGAGGATCTGAGACCTCTATTTACATCAGCTCCACGCTCACATAGAAATTCAACCTAGAGACAAAAAGGTACACAGGTAAACAATTTCACTTCTATGAATCAAGAAATAAACATTAAATAAATCTACACCTAGCACAAATTAGAGTCCCAGCCATATTTGTCTGCAGAATCAACTTGGACTACAAGGTTTGCCATTCATTTTCTCCTCCTCCAATGAACTTCATTTGATTATAAATAATCAGATTACATAAAAGGACATTTTATTCTATTAACATTTAATTCACTAAAAGAAAAGTTTATTTTATGAAAAAGGTAAATCACCTAATAATTATTTTACATTTGTAAGTTAAATAAACCCAACAAATTAAACAAAAAAATTATCCAAGGAGGCTTAGTATGACTAGTGAGGATAAACAAAAAAAAAAAAAAAAAAAAAAAAAAAAAAAACACTCAACTCTGGTCCTTACCATATCCTGACTACCAAAAGCAGATGCCCAATTCAATAAGGTTTGTCCAACATCATCCATGAAGTTAACTTCAAAACCTTAAAAAAAATAAAAATAAAAAGTCAAACATGGTCAGTCATTTGTGTGCCATGTGTGACAGGTTTAGGTCATGTTATGTATCTTTCAATAGATGACTGTTGAGGCAGATCCTCAATCTGAGCTGCTATCCATTCGTCCATTGTGTCTATTTGCTTAATTTTGATGCTTTATCAGTAAGATTTATGATTTAAGTTCTGATAAAATACTTTTTAATAAACAACTTTTTAGAAAAGTAATAACAGATGACTAAACTTATACCAATATGAATGTTTTTATTGAATGAATAAAAGAAAGAAAAGAAAAAAATAATTTAAAAAGGTTTGTTGCAAAGACATTAAAACAATTTACTTTAACCTGAAAAATATGGGCCACCATAACCTATTTAAAAGAAAGTAGGTTCTATAATGTGTGCAGTCTTGGTAATGTGAAAATTGTATTATTTTTCACTACACAAATAGTCTATAGTCAAACTAGCCACTTAATTTGGAACAATTACTAACTACCACAAAACACTAAATTCAGTTAGAATTTTTCAAGTTGCTAAACCATTCATCATTCCTTCATTTTGACAATGCCTAAAGTTTTTTTATGTGCAAAACATCTTTCAGTATAATATTTCTACCTGTTTAAATTATAATCTCAATTCTGATTGATTGAAGAGTAAATTCTATAAGGCTATCGTTCTTAAATTTTCTCAGGTAAAAATATTTAATGAAACTTGGGATATTAGTTCACTATTGTTTTTTTTTCTCCTCATGAGAGTCCTGAAATAGCTACAATTTGGGCTAGGAGAAAGTCGAAAGGGGAAAAAAGTTACATTTACTTTATTTTTTTTTAGCTTTTCTTCATTGGTGGCAGTCAGGTATCAGACAATTGTTACAATCTTGAATTCAGACTTTTCCTTCTAGATTGGTTGCCAACCACAGCTAGAGAGATGGCTCTACCCTGCTATTTAACCCATAGTTGAGAGAAATTTAGTTAATAGTCATCAAGTCAAATGTTCCAACTAGCACCATGAAGTTTTTCTGACTTATGCTATACCATTATTCAAAATTTGCTTTATATTTTGTTTGAAGTTTTCTTTAAGATTGGGTTCTCAGTCTCTTCTAAAGTTTACTTCAACTATACCTCTAATGTCTGCCAGAACTACAAATTGTTTTTCACTAATTATTTTTCTCTTCCCCCAATAGGAGTAGATTGGAGGGGAAAAAAAAAAAAAAAAAAGAGTGGAGGTTTATCCACTGTTTCCCCGTTTAGAATTGCATTTCCAGTTCCTTCAACTCTGTACTTCTGATGTCTCCACCTGACCTTCTATTCAATACTTATTTTTTTCCTCTTCCAATAAGAGTAGATGGGTTTGCTTATCCTGTTTACAGCCCTATATCATCTTTTTAACAAGATTAGGTCCATATCTTGTTTCCTGTTTAGGTTTAAGTTACTGGTTCCTTCTAAAGTATACTTTAATTATACTTCTAATATCTCTGGCTGAACTGAAAATTTATTCACAATTACATATTTACCTCTTCAAGTTTAAAATTAGCTGTCTATCCTTCCTGTTATCTTGTCCTTTCTTACACCAATAAAACTCCACACCAACCCTCTACCTTGAGTAGCCCTTGGGCACTGTACTGGGTGAACATTAGGAGGAGGGGGGGGGAGAAAAAAAAAAAAAGCTGTAGAAGGGATTAGCCAAAATCCATAAAAATGGTATTGCACATCCAGAGAATTCATGACAAACTCAGCCTCTTATCCCAAAAGTGGACAAAGTCCCAGTCTCATAAAAAGAAACAAATTTAACATTGAAAATTAAAAGAACTCAATTTGAATTTTAATGTAAATTGAGACTAATAATGATATCCAATATATACATTTGTACTTATACATATAAGGAAAGATCTATTTCTGTTGAGTACTTCATAAATTTATGGGCCCACAGTTTGCAAGAGAAATTCATAGTAAATTGCTTAAAAAAAAAAAAAAAAAAAAAAATTCTAACAATGCTACAGTCACATTTGGTAACTATTAATTTATTGACTACATTTTTTTTTTTTTTTATTAAAATAATTTGAAAAAAATACAAGAAAACTTTAATTTAGATAAATCGATTTTATTTGCTTGAAAACAAAATAGTAATTAATTAAATACTTATTTAAAAGTATTGGAGGGGGCTTGGTATTGTTCCAGTGCAGTTTTTCAAGCCAGTTTTAAGGAGAAAAAAAAAAAAAAAAAAAATTGGGGAAGGAGGTCTAACCCCTTAAGCCTCTCTCCAGAATGGCCCTAAAATCAATTTTCAATCAACTTTTATTTCATAGTTACTAAATTTTCTTACGTTGTCAAACTTATCAAATTTTGCTAAATTCGTTTTTTTAGCATTAGCTTCAGGAAATACTGATACTCAAATCAAAGAATCTGGGATCATTTACAGATTTTCTTGGGAATAAGGGAATAATCTCTAATCTCGATTGAAAAAGTTTAGTTGTCAACCATGAAAATGCAGTTCATCCTACATTGAACTAAGGTTGTGTTGTGTTTAGAGTACCTTGTAAGAGATTAGGTCAATGTGACTTATTAAATTACAAATTTCTTGTTACAAATTTTAAATTTAGCAATACTGACAAATCAATTCCAACACATTTCACTTTCTAATAAACTTAAAGTATGGATGTATTGAGTTTTAGATTATCTAATGATGTTTGTTTTTCATGAAGACTTCATATTCGAGGCAACTGTTTACAAAAATTGTATATTAATAAATAACTAATTAAAAAATTGATTTATAAAAGTTTATTTTTATGAAGAGGCTAAGAAAATTTAGTAACAAATTAACCATCTAGATTAATAGCAATTACATTTTTTTTTAATAGGCAAGGTGTGGATTTTAAAAAACAAACTTTATTGTGAATGTTTTATAACAACTGTTTATTCCAACTATAATTTTCATGTTTTCCAGTTGTGTGTACAGAATAGCATAGAGTAAAATGCAAAAGATTTTGACTTTGTTAGGTTAAAATGTACCAATATTTAAGAATCTCCAGATTGTTTGTAATCTCCAAGAGAAAGTTTGGTGATAATAAGAGAAAACCTGTACATCACTATATTCTATGTGTGTAGAAAAAGAAAAAAAAATTACAGCAAAGCTTAAGGGAGACACAGTGGAGTAAGGGATAGCAGCTTGGATTGAGAAATCAAAGAGCAGAGTTCAAATTCCAGTTGAATCCATTACATTCACTTACGTGCTAATACCTTTGGGAAAGGTATCCTCTTCTTCCCACAGTTATGGGTAAATAGCAGGATAGAGTGGGGTTCTATAGCCTTGGATGGCAGCTATTCTACCACAGAAAGAAATGGCAGCCTACTGCAGGAAAAAAAATCTGCCTCATCACTCATGTATAGAGAGATACATGATCTCCCAAGCATGTATCACGCATGACACACAACCAACTTACTTTTGCCAATGATTATGTGAACATTTAATTATTCAAATTGTAAACTGAATGAAGATTAATTGAAAGAAAAAAATCCTTATAACCTTAAGTTATATGATACTGTATGCAAATAGTCAACTACTGTTAAAGGATGCCACTAATTTAAGTTTTCCATTTATGTTGCAGTATTTATTGGTGCTCGTTATTTTGCGTACCTGTTCTTACTCTTGCAATATGATTTTCTTGCAAGTCCTGTTCTCTTAGGAGCATCTAAGAATTTTCATATTGTGGGATGACACTTGCTGCAAAAAAGCTCCATGTCATCCTTCAATTAATTTTAGGTAAATCAACATTGACTCAAAGCAAGACATCCATATTTCGAATAATTATCATTTGCTATGATTGTCCTTTTGATTAATTTTCATTCAAACAATTTACAATTTGAATAAATATTTTTTGAATAGTTGCTTCGATATATTGATGATTTTTCATTTTTTTAAAAAAATTGTTGATGTTTCATGTAATCAGAATAGAATCAATATTAAGTATATGTGTGTGTGTTTTAAGGTATACTATATTTATGGGTTAAAGCGCTCAATATCAGGGATAGAGGAATGAAATTATATTTTTTCATTGGATAATATAGACATATCTACTTTTATAATTATCCTTTCCAGTTTTCTAATCAGTTTCTTGATAAGATGAAATTCATCAAGGATTTACAAAGAAACTTACTGTAACTAATAAATTTGTATTCTAAATGTCTTTGTAAATCACCCTTGATAATCTTGAGGATCAAAAGTATTTGGGTAGGAAAATCTATGGCACTCTCCTTGATGAATTTCATCTTGTCAAGAAACTGATAACAGAACTGGAAAGGATCATTATAAAAATAGGATAGAAATAATATGTTTATTCAATGAAACATGTTTGACTGAAGATATGCTGCCTAAATATATATGAATGAAATGATATGAGATAATGATATATTTTTATTTATCAAGAACAGTATTGAGGAAATTGTAAAACAAAATGGAAAAGTTTATTTGTGATGCATTTCATCTGTTAGGACTTCATTGGATGGGGTTTGTTGACATGATTACATATGTATATGAATGAGAAATGCTGGTAGTTCCAGAATTTTTTTAAAAGAATCTTTGCAAATTCATTTACGTTCTTTTTCCTGACAAACCCAACAAGTCAATATATTAATTCTAACCACTATCACATCTACAACGGAGAAAAATATCTTAACTCAACATAAAATTTGTCACAACTACATCTAAAACAATAAAAGACTTAATACAAAGCTAAAACCTGAAGGAGAAATTTACTATCAACTGCAATGATTGCCAGAAAGAATATACTGGAGAAATCTCGAAGTGTGAACAAAAATACTATAAGAGACATAAAAAAACATGCAAAATGCTACTCTAAAAGAGAAAATAATTCACTAAGGTGAAAATGTCTAGAAAGCACCTTAATCAGCAATTTAGCCACAGTAAATTTATGTCCAGGTTCTTATGTTTCACTTTCTTAGAAGATTTTCTGTTATCACAATGCAGGATATTTAAAAACAAAGATGAAAAGAAAAAGAATAGAGATGAATTTGGCTAGATTTCAAAAATTATATATATGGCACCAAGTAATCATGGAGAAAGAATAAGATTGAGGACTGATTTGAGCTGCTGACTATAAACGTTCCAGTACTCAATGAGTTGGAACTGTTGCTGTAATTTGAAGAAAAAAAAAAAAAATTTTGCTTAAGGAACTATTTTATAATCTGCCATTTACTCAATGCTGAAGGCAGTTGCTAAAGACAACTAAAAAGAAATTTGAAAAGTTCTTACCATTATCAACAGCATCGATTAAAGCATCTGTGTCTTTACTTCTGATACAGTCAATAAGTTGCCTGTGTGAACGGGGCTCACCACCACCTGTACTATCAACACGCCGCAGTCCAGGTAGTAATCGACTGCTTGATATGTTGCCAATTCCAGAAGCAGCAGCCTTTGGAAGTGCTTTCCTACCTTCGAATAACAGCACCAACAGGAGATCAACAAGCCGCATAGTGTCTAAGCAGCAACTGAAAGATTTAAATTACAATAGGGGAAAATTTAATATAATAGCATAAATAAAACAAAAAGAAAAAAAAAGATTTAAATTAATCTTTGTTAGTGTTATTGATCTTAAAGATGCATTAATGATTATGAATTTAAAACAATTTTATTACAATAAGCAAAGTCGCATTTTTGATAAACTAAGATGTCTAACTGCTGAAAGAAAACTTTCACAAAAACTTGAACAGACTAACCGTTCATCTCCTTTGAGGCCACTTTCAATGGCTTCTAGTAAATGTGATCTCAGCAAGTCATGTGTTATACATGGGCTACCCCTGCATAAAGTGGACAGCAAACTGATTACTGTGGATACACTGGCACTTGATTTGGAGTCAACAGGTACAAGAGCAGTTGCACCTGCAGAAGTACTGGGACCAACACCAGATGTTCCGTGTCCCCCATGAACAGCTTCGCCAGCAGCTTTTAGACGGAAGAGCAACTCGTCAACAATTCCATGTTGTGCCAAAGGAGCAGGATCGACTCCACGTCGGGTAAAACGGTCAGCAAGTGAGGCAAAACATCGTAATGCCCCATCTGAAACCTTTACACACACGAGGAAAAAAAAAAAAAAAACTTAGTAAAAAAGCATGTTAATATAAAATGAGGGGAAAATCAGTATTAAAAATTTGAGAACTTATTACAACAGAAATTACTTGTTTTCACTTTAAGTGTTAAATTTCAAAGACTGCATGAGCAGAGAAAATGAAACTTACAAATGGGTCTTCATGTTTCAATAAAGTGGATAAGGATTCCACACATCCTTCTAGAGCTGTATCCTGAGTGGGCTCCATTTTGCCACACAGTCGAGAGACAACTGACATAGCTGAATGAAGTGTGTCTTTGTGTACTTGAGAACCATGTTCTCTTATGAATGTAAGGACGCAGTTTAAGCCGCCAGCTTCAAAAACTGAACCAGATTCACGAGTGCAGATAAGTTCCAAGACCTGTTAAAGACATTTTTAAATTGTAATTTTCATAAATGCACATTTCAAATCAGATACAAAACCTGAAATAAACAATGTCAATGGAGGAAAATAAAGTTACAAGAACAAATGGATAAATTATCTTTCAATTAGAGAAAAATTTAATTGAATTTAGGTGAGCATGTAACAGATAAGGGCAACTATAATGGAAAATACACTATTCCAAGTTTATTTAAAGTTATTAATTCAGATTTATGCCTATTAAAAGAAAAAGAGGATTTAAAATTTTTGTCCCAAGAACATTTGTGCAATATCCTTTCAAAACAAGGGCAATTATAGCTCCCTTCATTACTCAAACTAAAATCTGTACAAAATCCACAAAATTAACCTCTATGGATTTTAACAAGAATTTCAGTTGTACATTTCATCAATGGGAGTTGGGAGTACACATTTGTAATGTTACAGAGGTTTACCTCATTTGAAAGGTTTAGTTTGAATATCAAGTTAAACTAGATGTAAATGTAGTGATAAGCATCAACATATTTCAATTTTTCTTTTCACCTATAACATTTTAGCATTTTATAAAAAAAAAAAAGAAAAAAAAAAAGACAAACTTCATAATTATCCTAAAAGGTATGTCTATATTTCTGAGATGAGGTATTATGTACACTATTTACATTATTTGGACTATTGTCCTCATCTTTGTTGCCATATTATTACGTTTCAGCCATTGTATACTCCAGCCTTCTTCAGGTGGGGAATCAACAGGAGATAACTGATAACTGACATCCATTAGACATGGCACGTGAAACTAGAACAGTCTACCCCAGTGAGCGAAATAAAGGGTTCAGTTCAACATTCCAACTACCTGAAAAAGTAATGTAACAAATATGACAAAGATGAGGACAACAGTCCAAATAATGTAAATAGCCTCCTAAAAGATTTGTCTTGAATTTTTTAAAACCATACTGAAATTAATTTTTTTCTAACATAGTAGCATAAAAACACTTAAATGTTAAGGAAATGCTAGTCCACTAAATGTTTTTTAATGCAAGTAATACAGGTTGTAACAAATAAAAAAAGCTAAAATATTAAAGTTAAAAATGAATACAAAAATTAGTTAAATTTTACTGGATATTTTTATATTAAAACAACTTTTTCAGTTTAATCACCTTAGATCTTATATTCAAGAGTAACTTAATAATTAGTAACTTAATTGCATGGCCTACATACATTTTCTCTGTAAAGAAAATAAGTGCATTTCAACTATTCACAAATTAGTTTTTAAGCCTTAAAATTAAAAAAAAAAAAAAAAAAAAAAAAATTTACAATTATCTGCTTCATGTCATGACTAAATTTTCCAGATTTTATTTTCAAAACTGTATTTTCAGGATATAAGTTAAAAAAAAAAAAAATAAAAAAAAATCTTATGGCTCATTTAAGTTTTAACCCAAAAATGGATCCATTAGACATGACACGTGGAACAAAAACAGTTTACCCCAGCGAGTGAAATAAAGGGTTCAGTTTGACATTCCAACCACTTGAAGAAGGCCAGAGTGTACAATGTCTGAAACATGGTGATAAATATGGCAACAAAAACAAGAACAATAGTCTGAATAATGTAAATAGTGTACATAATACCTCACAATAGACAATTTTCATGTTTTGTTTGAAAGCTAAATTATTTCTTACAATGTAATTGTAAAACCCAAATCCTACTCCGGTTGGAGGGATACCTCCCCGACTGAAGAATTCATTCACCCTTTAATAACTTGTTTTCTACTGCTGAAATTTCACTTGGCCCCCTCAACAGACCAGAGTCTGGTGAGGAGGCCAATTTAGTTGCCAACCACTCTGGCTTGTAATAAAATAGTTTACCTACTTTATAAATGTGTACTCTATTTCATCGATTCTTAATACAGCCAAACCTCATTTTTTTGGTAAACAAAGTTCCTTTCCAGGTTATATTACCATACCCTCTTATAAAAAGAGCTTATTTTTATGATGAATTGCTTAAAATAATTGCCAAGGAAGGAAAATTGCTAAGTTAATATTTTGAATTTTGTTATAATTAAATCCTGTCTTAAGCGTTAAAAAGGTCAAGGCAGGTTTTACACCCCCCCCCCAAAAAAAAGAAAAGGTGTTGCAATTTTATTAAAAAATATGATTTCAGTTACAAAGATTATTGAAGCCTATCACTAGATTAACTATTTGCACAGGTTCATGGTAATTGTTATGAGTTTTCTTAGGTACCTAAACTTTTTGAATTTAAGTATATTACTAGATTAGAAGTAAGGTCTTATTTTACATTATATCATTTTACATTACAACTAAAATCAAGTATTTATATCGTTAATAAAATTATAACACTTAATTTTAATCAATTCAATGCAAGTACATTTAGTGGTGTAAAAGACTACCGTATTAATATTTAATACTTATATAATACATTTTTTTTTTTTTTTTTTTTTTTTTTTTACAGATTAGTATACTTTGAATATAAAGTAAACATTAAAATGCACAAATATATATATATATATATATATATATATAATAAAACACTAAGGTATCCCAAACTGGCCTAGTTTACAGTGCAAACATTTGTCAAAGTGACATTTTCATCATTTCAACTGCCAATTCATTTATTTGAGGCTATTTTGATAAAATTAGTATCTAAATAAAGTTTAATGTTTTCTCTTTATAAGAATTTTTTCATTTATGACAATTAGTTTTTATTCTACATTTAAATTATAACTATTTCAATGACAGATGGTGACTTTCCATATTTTCAAAGTTGTCCATTTCATAGTTGTGTTTTGCAAATTAGCTGCACTCACAGCTCTGTTAACAGATATCAAAATAGCCTTAAAAAAAAAAAAAAAAAAAAAAAAAAAAAGCTCGTCAATTTGGTGGGCTAACTATAGAATTTGAAGTCATCTTTCAAAAAAATGTCTAAGTTGAAAACCTTAGTGCATGAAATAACTAATTCTACACAATTTGAATTTGTAGAGCACTGACTCATCTTTTATAATCAGTTGGTTTCATATCTCTACATGTGAATCAAGAGGAGGGTAGTGTATTCATTTCATGCAAATGAGTGGTCTGATGCACCTAAATTTGTATTACTGATCAAGCAAATGAAAGTCACTAGCTGAATCCAATTTTAATTCAGACAAAAACAAAACAAAAAATGAACTGAAATATAATAAACTAGATATATTTTTAGTTCTTTAAATTTTGGTCATTCTCATTTGCTTATCAAAAATTAAAATGGGATTTTTAAATGGCCATTTATAATCACTATGGATTTAATGAATTTTGAAGAATTTAAAAAAAAGGTCTCTTTGAAGTTAAATTGTTTTTATTTGAAAGACAACAGTTTAAGTAAATTTGTCAAAAAGAAAAAGAGAGAGAGAGAGAGGGCTCCTGTATGAGCTGTTGATAAAGTGCCACTTACTAGGGTTCCAGTTGCCTTGAACAGACACATTGTGGCAGAAGCAAAGCCAATCTTGACGGGTGAAAAGCTTGAAAAACTAGTGATGCTTCTGCCAACCTGCTATTTTGCATACTTTCGTCTAACAAATTCTATGGCTCAATCCTCGATGCCAAAAGTTTGGCATTGGACTTTGAGATCGAGATCTCTGATCAAGTCATTGAGATCTTTTTGGTTGGGGTGGAATGGGTTTCTCTTCTCAGATGTGCCTCTAATTTGGATAAATGGCATCTGAAGAGAGCTAGTCCCTCTTTAGAGGAGTGGGTACAGGGAGCTAAGGGCAGTGTGGCACTGGGTTTATAGATGACAGAAATTCTGGATAATGCATTCTTAACATTTGGAAGGGTCCACCAGGCAGAAGAAGCAATTGCTTGGGTGGTCAGTCAGTTCCTTCCAAATTTGTGGATTGTGAATTTCATGGCTATATCCCACCATGTCCCAGTGACAAAAGCAAAGAATAGCTGTTGTTGATTACTAGACTGAAGCAATTAGGAAATAACACTGACCAAAGACAAAAAAAAAAAAAAAAGTTAAAATTTTATTACCGTGCAATCCTTTTTTTTTTTTATTAAAACTGAAACTTATTTATGTATGGCAACTCATGAGCTGCTATAACCACAGTAGCCTTCTAATGTTACCACTTAAAAATGATATTAAACTTTACATTTTTTCTTCTTCTTAATACATCTTTTCATTTAATACAAAAATTCCTTATTGGAAGAATATCAGAATTCCAATGAAAAAATTACAAGTACATAAAAAAAAACAAAACAAAAAAAAACAGGTATTCAATGTAAATTTGTGTGTGTCAAATGTGAGAAACTATTTTAAATTATACAAGTACCAACTCTCACCGAAAATGATTTGATTAAGTTTTCTTTTTTTTTTGTCAAGTTCATGAAAAATTTTTTATGTTCACAGTTGATTGAATATATATCTTTTACTTCAGTAAAATCTTGAAGTATTTCTTTTGTAGGTAAAAAGAATGTTTGAACCAACACAAAAAAAAAAAAAAAAATTTAACAAGCATCACTTCATCAATCAATCTTGTTGATGCACAACCAGGCTATGGCTAGGCTGGAAACAAAATCAGCAATTGAGTAGCAACCAGTTCTTGGCATTTCAAGAAAGCATGCAATACATATGTGACTAAGACAGCAACAAAAGGTATTTGTGAAAATTCAAGTACAAGAAAGGATTGCTAAAAATGAGAAGCAGAAGAAAAAATAACTTTTTGAGAGCACCTCTCTGCGGCTGCTTGGTCTCATGTTGACTGCTGACCTGAGATGGAACAAATACATTGAGTCAATTGCTTCGTCCACTGCAAGGAAAGTTGGTCCCCTGTGCCACACCAGGAAATTTTTCTACCCGGAATCGATCCTCCAGCTCTACAAGTCAACAATTCGCCCTTGCATGGAGTATTGCTGCCATATATGGTCTGAAGCCGCTTCTACCTCGAGGTTCTTGATAGGCTCCAGAGGCGGATATGCAATATAATTGGCCCTGCTCTGGCATCTCATCTACAGTC